ATCATACAAGAGACACCCAGTTTTGATCTATAAATGGAGTTATCTTCTAAATTCTTCGAGAAAAGAATGTTGTGTTTCGAGATGGAATTTATTCGTAGATGAAGGTATTTAGGAGATTAGGTCAACTTAATTTTTCTAAATGGAGCTCTATATTTTTTTACACGCCAATCGATGTGTCGTTTTATTCTCTACGAAAAAGTATTGACCTACTTATGCCGAAAAGCTATTAGTTCAGGAGATATTTTTAAACGATGTGTAACACAGATAAAATAATTTATTTATTAAAAGAGACTCGCAAAGAGACTAGCAAATTATTATATATGGGATAAATATAATATTTCAACACGAACGCGTTTTACGCTATTATTATTATTTTAATGAGCACCCAAAGAGTTAATTCCTAAGTATATCTAATGTGTCTCTATGAATTTATACACATTGATGAGACTCGTACGCTGTTATCAGAAATCGGTCAAAGTGTCCGTATTCTTGTAGCATTCGTTATCAAATGTATCGTAGAATCGGAGTATATCGTAGAATTGGCCAGTATATATAAAGCGGACGTGTCTACTTAATTAGCACAGAAGGATGATAGCGTGGATTAAACTAGGTCAGGCGAGTGACGCGTTTATATGCCTGACCGGGTAATATTTATTCCTGGCATTGCATGCACTGAAGATGCTGGTAAGAGTAAGAATATCGTTTGCCTATTGACGCGATCTTCCAAACGTCGGTTTTGTCAACGTGTTGTTGACGTAGCTGGCTGCCTCGTGATGCTTGGCTTGACGTACAGCCGTCTTGGAAAGAGCTCAGCAACTTATCGTAGATAAACGATCGAACGAATTCGCTTAATTTAGTTTCTCCAGTTCAGTTAGAATCGGGGATGAAAAAAAAAAAAAAAAAAAAAATTACTTTGAACATTCTTTGGAGAATTAAATCATCGAGTAAAGATCAGTCGTATAGTAATTGTTTTCATTACGAATGATTAAAATTACTTTTTTACCGCATATCGATGTTAGTTACAAACAGATGTACGTTCTGGCATTAAAGATATCGAATGATGTTAAATATAACGTAATATAATGTTAAATATATATTATAAATTATTGCTAAATTATCCTATATTCAGCAATGTGTCGAAACTCACCTAATGAGGCAAGAACACCGTAAAAATGTCGTAGTTAACTAGCTAGAACGAACGAAGTGTTCATTTTCGAAGGTTCGATAGTGATTGACCGTAATTTTCGCGATCAGGTGAAAAGAGCACCGGTCGATACGATATAGCACAGACTAGGAACGAGCGTTGTTAATTATGTAAATGGTGCTGCGGTGAAAGATTGGACGGCGAATCAAGGAGGAAGTGTCCGCGTTCGCGCGTAAGGAATTCGCGCGCCGACCTGTGAAGAACATAACGATTTCAATCCTCCTCGGGCGCGAGACACCGGGTTCAACGATACCGGTCATTCTTTCTCGCTAGTCAAATCTGTGAGGCGGCTCGTGAATTTCTTATTTCCATTGGAACTGCACCTGCCGCAGGTGCAGCTCCCAGCCAATGAAATATCGTTCCATCGCGATGGCCAAAAAGTTCGCCACGACGTCGATGGCTTCGCTGAACATGGCTCCGAGGCCACTCTGTTTT